GTATTTATTACAACGTTTCGGCCTTTCAGTATCTGTCTATATTTCTGTGATGAGATATTATGTACACCATTTACATTATTCAGACTATTGTCCTCATCTTTGTCGCCATATTTATTACAACTTTTCGGACTTTCAGTATATGCCTATATTTCTGAGATGAGGTATAATGACATTATTCGGACTATTGTCCTCATGTTTGTCGCCATATTTATTACGCTCCGGCCTTCTTCAGGTGGTTGGAATGTCGAACTGACCTTTATTTCGCTCACTGCGGTAGACTGTTCTAGTTCCACGTGCCATGTTTTTAATCGATGTCAGTTATCAGTTATCTCTTGTTAAGGCAGTGGAGAACTTCCAGAGGGAAATTAGCAGGAGATAACTGATAACTGACATCCATTAAACATGGCACGTGGAACTAGAAAAGTCTGCCCCAGTGATCGAAATAAAGGGTTCAGTTCGGCATTCCAACCACCTGAAGAAGGCCGGAGCGTACAACGGCCGAAACGTTGTGATAAATATGGCGACAAACATGAGGACAATAGTCCGAATAATGTAAATAATGAACGTTCGATTAATCCTTACTCATTAAAGATTAATTGCAACCGAGTTATCAACGCATGAGATACAGACTAGCGTCCGAAAATTGCTTATGAGTTAGCATAAATTAAAAAAAGAAAGAATTAAACTCCCTGTTTAATAATGATTTTCTTTTAGTTTAAAAATTAATTACAATTAAGGAAAACACTTGCAACTTAGTTTTAATGTTGCCACAGGAAACACTGAACTATAACATATGAAAAGTTCTAATGCATTTAGCATTATAACGAAATAATGATTTGTATTTCAATTGTAAGTGCTCGGTCCCTGGATATAAAACATTTTTATGTTTTATAAAATAATTAAAACGCTTTTGCAAATGACTACATCTACTGTAGGAATGCAAAGTTTCTGTTCAAAAAAATAATCAATAATCATGATTTCATTTTAGTAGCGATGGTATTCGAAAGTCAAAATATTTATTTATTAATTAGTATTCACTGGTTTACAATTACACTATGACTCCCGTTCCTGACTTTATTACTAAACTATGTGTCATGTGCTAAGTTCTAGCGCACCCGTTTCGCAATAACCTTATTGACTTTACCTTTTGTAATAATGTTAAGTCATTTCTTCAACAAAATACTGTCTTTCTGGTTTAGAGTAAAATTATTATTAGACATAGAATGCTTTAAATGCTTTTTCCAAAATATTTTGCAATATTAAGCACATAGATTTGTGTTGCCACTGCTAGTAATTAATACAAACTTTGCTAAAAAAAAATAGAGCAACTATATGTATAACTAGCAGCCATAGCTATCTGGTAAGTCAGAAAAAAGCGTTCAATTAAAATAGAGAAAAAACAGCATCATGTTTAGATATAACAGTGTCTATCTTCTTCAATTACTTTAAAGAACTTTCATTGATAAAACATTTTGAATTAATGCAGTTACTTATATAACAGAAGTAGTCTGTATTTATTCAATCGAAGTTAGCCGAGGACGTGAAGGGGTAAAACAGACAACATGATGACACACTTCAGACAACAATTATTTTGGAGATTTTGAAATTCAATTTGTCAGTGTCCGACCGGGGATGTAAAAGAGAATACATTGATAAGTATTTATATTGTTAAGTGACATTTATATTGTTAAGTTTGATGAAAATTGATTGAAAGATCAACGAAAAATATGAAAAAAAACATTAAAAATCGCCATTTTTCGTTATCTACGTGGGTTTTTACTATATAGGTGGACTCAGTTATCAAGTTAAATGACTGTTAAACAAAGATCTTATTCTTGGCTACAATTTAGTGAAGTTTGTATTAGATTGCTTGAAACTTGAGGGAGATTTTAGTTTTTAATTTATGTTTAAATAGATTTGTGTTGAAATTGATGTTTCGTTTTTCGCTAAACGCGGTGGCGCTGAAATAGAAAAAAATGGTATCGTAAAGCTCGTCATGATGTAAGGTACCTACATCCCGAGTTTGAACGAAATCGTAGGAAATATGTTGAAATTATCGATCTCTGATTGGCTTTATCGATTATAGATTAAAAAAAAATATAGCGATTTTATGCTAAGAACCTATCTCTTATATGGTAAAATGTATGTGCCAAGTTTTGCCAAAATCGGTTGCATGGATCTCGAGTGAAAAGTTATCACAATGACTGACAGCCATCCTCTGTTTTATATATATATATATTATATATATATATATATATATATATAGATGTTCCCTAGCCAGAAGGTGTTTTTCCTCGTGTACTTGTTTTTCTTTTAATTCATTTTATGCCCAGGAAGACGATAATGCCACTAAGATGCGAATGTTTCTGAAAGTGAAAAAAAAATGAGAAAAAGATAATGAAAAGAAAAAACAATAAAACGACAGGATCTTGGAAGACAGAAAATGGCGCTTGATGTTGCATGATTTGAATTCTTGAATATCGTAGGTGGCAACGAATCAAGAAAGCAGAAGTGTGGGTAATTCAGTTCGCCTGTCGTTTGCGATGACTATAAAGGATTAAAGTGCTTGCTTTCGTTCAGTCATCCGGTCTACCAACTGAACTGTTGCTAGTAAGCTCTTATTCTCTCAGTCTCGTTAGTACGCACGTACGCCGTCACGCCAACAACGCTATCTACCATTTTCCTCCAGGATTCGCTTTTTATGCCTGCGTCGGTGCGGTGGGGGGCGGGAACAAAAATTTGTATACGAGACTTACTTCTCATTCACCCGAGACTTCCGATTTTATAAATTCAAGCTGGTTTGAATTCTTAGTCTTTTTAATTCTTTTTGCTTTGTACGTCTGCCCGCGATATAGGAATTTTGGAATAATCCATTTATCTTTTAATACCGATCGCGATCTTTCAACAGGACCCAACACGCCAGGCAAATCCGCTTTGCGGGGTGGTATGTCTTCTCTTTCCTCACAAGAAGACTAGACATACGAGAAGAGAAAGTATTAGAATCGAACATACGTTTTCATTTAGCAATCTCAACAATGAAACAATGATCGGCCCTGAAGAAACTGGAACAGAACAAACTTATTATATCATAATAAACACCGAAATTTCAAGCGTTACTATTTGTCGGCCTAGTGTAGTAAAATCATCTATTGGAAAACTATCGCCACAGTTTCGGAGATGAGAAAATTTGATATGTATAAAAAGAGTGGTGCATACTGTCGTTTCCGACACGTGATCTGCAGTCAAATTCTTTCTCCGTCACTTAGTTCCCAATACGAGTTATATCACTTTTACTTATCTTATTCAAATAGGTACAATCAGTGGTAGCGTTCGTCTGAACCGATTCTTAAAATTCTTAGGAAATCGGTTGTTGGATTATCCGAAAAAAATCTTATATATTAATAGCCGATATATAATAGCTATGATATAATTAATACCATTACTACAAGTTCTGCAGATGCTGAAAAGGGTTTTTTTTCTGTGAGGAACAAAACTAAATTTATTTTGACATAGGAAATCGTCTTGATATTAAAAATATGACAAGTCATAAATTTGATAGACCTTCCATTGGATGTTTAGGACTGCAGCAATTCAGTTTGAATGTGGTTAAGTAACCATAACACAGCTGATGACACTAGCGTCAAAAAGGAGCCTATTTCAGAACAAAGATATAAGAACGGAATTTCAACCAGGAAATATCTTAATAAATAAATGTTTTCTATTAAATTATCAAAAGGGTTTTATTCTTTTTGACGCAATAAAGTGATTTGTTTCCATTCTTACACTGAAAAGAAAATAATCAGAACATGTTCCAAAAACTGTACCTTCTTTTATAGAACCGGTTCCTGGAAATGTTCGATGACATTATTGGGTACAAGCCTATTTATCTATTAAATTCACCTCCCTGAGAGATTTAATGTTGCTTGTTCTCGGACTTCTGTAACGAAAAAAAAGCTAGTAAAACAGATAGATACTTAAGGCTTATACAACTTTATCGAGAATCTACAGTAGAACGATTTCAACGAAGGCTCATTCACCCAACTCGAACAAGCAGCATTTTTTATTTACACTTTTTGGCGGAGGTGGGCAGGCATTTTTAGCTTTTCTTTAATGTTACTTCATACTGTCACTGTAAATATATGTCGCCAAAACTGAAATATTTCGTGAAAAGCGTAAGCAGTTGACTTCGTGCCATCTAAAAATTGTTTCGAATTCCATTCAGATTGACGGATAAGACAAGAACATTCAGGACAAAAAGTCGTATCCAGAATCTTCAGATGAGATATTTCTTACATTCTTAAAAATACTCACCAAAAATATAATTTGAGAAAATATTTCCTTTGAGAAATTCCTGCTTCAAAGGTTATGGTTTTACGGGAATACTGCCCAGGATTATTTTACTAAAAGATAAAGACATATTTATTAAACGCGAAAACAGGAACGGTTAATTATAGTGTTTGTTTAGCAGGTTTACGCTTGGTTTCGGATTTTTGCTTTCTAGTAAATAACTAACTACCCCAATGACAGTTCCATTCCGTTCAAATATATATTTTGTCATTACTAGGAAGAAATTTATTTAAAGGAAGGTGTTCTTTAAGAGGTTTTGTCGTAATACGCTTTTTTTTTTTTGTTTCAAAATGGAGGCGGTTTGTGAGAAATGGACTTGCACACGAACACAAGCAAAACAAATTGACACTTTTAGTGAATATTCCTCAAAGGGTTTGACAGAAGGTTAGAAATAAATTAGGTTTACGAAAAAAACAACATTGTCTTCTTTTTTTTATCTTTGAGCCCCTGTCCGCCTCCGTTCGATGAACGGATATTTGCAAAAATGTATAACGAAAAGATGACAACGAAAAGGGAGGCTTCGATGCATGAAAATGGAAAATTGCAGAGGAGGAAGTGATTTGACACTGTGAGGAAAAAATAAAAACAGATGAGAAATGAAGAAGCCGAGATAAAAATGGGAAGAGGGGGGGAGAGGAGAAACTTATTAAAGTTCATTTGTATAGATACATAGATAGATAGATAGATAGATCTGAACAATCATATAGATATAGATATATAAATAGATAGGTATGAACAAATAGATAGATAGATAGATCTGAACAATCATATAGATATAGATATATAAATAGATAGGTATGAACAGATAGATAGATAGATAGATAGATAGATAGATTAGAATGATATAGACCAATCAATTCTGAGATAGATAGATAGATAGATAGATAGATAGATAGGTAGATCTGAACAATCATATAGACATAGATATATAAATAGATAGGTATGAACAAATAGATAGATAGATAGATAGATAGATAGATAGATAGATAGATAGATCTGAACAATCATATGGATATATAAATAGATAGGTATGAACAGATAGATAGATAGATCTGAACAATCATATAGATATATAAATAGATAGGTATGAACAGATAGATAGATAGATAGATAGATAGATAGATAGATAGATAGATAGATAGATAGATCTGAACAATCATATAGATATATAAATAGATAGGTATGAACAGATAGATAGATAAATTGATAGATAGATAGATCTGAACAATCATATAGATATAGATATATAAATAGATAGGTATGAACAGATAGATAGGTATGAACAGATAGATAGATAGATAGATCTGAACAATCATATAGATATATAAATAGATAGGTATGAACAGATAGATAGATAGATCTGAACAATCATATAGATATATAAATAGATAGGTATGAACAGATAGATAGATAGATAGATAGATAGATAGATCTGAACAATCATATAGATATATAAATAGATAGGTATGAACAGATAGATTGATAAATTGGTAGATAGATCTGAACAATCATATAGATATAGATATATAAATAGATAGGTATGAACAGATAGATAGATAGATAGATAGATAGATAGATAGATAGATAGATAGATAGATGCTGACATAGACCAAAGCTGAAGTGTAGTAAAATGAAAACAAAGTATGGCAAATGAAAGAAACAAAGCAGGACAACACACGAAAAAGAAAGAGAGAAGGCCAAACGAAGAAGAAAGATAGCACAAAAAATAAAAATAAAAAGAATGAAAGTAAGAAATAAAGAAAAAAGTATAGAACACGGAGATAGAAATAATAGGTAGAAGAGTGTAAGAACAAAAATAAAATAAAGAAAGAAAGAAAATACAGGCAAAAAGAGAAAAAAAAACAAATTAGTCAAAACTGATTTAGCATGTGTAAAACCGAAGAAATGAAAACATATTTTGATATATTCAGGAAATGGAAGGTAAAAATACAGGCAAAGCAAATATGAAATAAATATTGATAAAGTTGATTTTTCTTAACTAGATTATTTTTATTTTTCTGTTCAGACATCAACGAAAAAAAGAATCAACAAGACAAACGCTGAATCTATTCACCTCAGCTTTTAACAAGTCAAATTCTGCAAAGATATTTAACGTAAAAATATATGTAAACAAAGTTTATTCATTCAGGCTAATAAACCATTCTTGGGTGGTCATGAAAATAGTAGGAATTCTAAAGAACTTCCAAGCACAAAATAGAAAGAATGAAGAATTAAGTTTTGCTTTCTTCCCAACATGCACGCAAATTCAAGCCTGACAAACCAAACATTAAGTTTCCAAATAATGAAGGATCGGAAAAAAGGGTTTTTACAGACTTTTTTTTTACTTTGAACAAGTGCATTTGCTTTACATAGGATTTCTTCTGATTAATGGTCTGAGTGGAAATTATAGGTGTTTTGTGTTGTGAAACATTAACATCCATTCTTTCAAGATATTTCAAAGTTGAGTTAAAGTAATGAGGAAAAGCGAGATTTTGACGCTGAACTCTTCTTGATGTAGAGTTCTGTACGGTCATGATGACCATTGTTATTGAGCTTTTCACTTTAATCTAAATAGAAACGCGGGAAAGGCTATGATAGATAGATAGATAGATAGATAGATAGATAGATAGATAGATAGGTAATGAAAATACTAAGATAGATAGATAGATAGATAGATAGATAGATAATTAAAATACTAAGATAGGCAGATAATTAAAAGGCAAAGATAGATAGATAGACAGATAATGACCAGGCTAAGATAGACAGATAATTAAAAGTCAAAGATACATAGACAGACATATAGATAGATAGAAAGATAGATAGATAATGAAAATACTAAGATAGACAGATAATTAAAAGGCTAAGATAGATAGATATATAGATAGATAATGAACAGGCTAATATAGATAGATAGATAGATAATGTACAGGCTAAGATAGATAGATAGATAGATAGACAGATAGATAGATAGATAGATAGATAGATAGATAGATAGATAATGAACAGGCTAAGTTAGATAGATAGATAGATAGATAGATAGATAGAAAATGAACAGGCTAATATAGATAGATAGATAGATAACGAACAGTCTAAGATAGATAGATAGATAGATAGATAGATAGATAGATAGATAGATAGATAGATAGATAGATAGATAATGAACAGGCTAATATAGATAGATAGATAATGAACAGGCTAAGGTAGATAGATAGATAGATAGATAATGAACAAGATAAGATAGATAGATAGATAGATAGATAGATAGATAGATAGATAGGAATCCGAAAAAATGATAAGATGATGAATAAATATGACACGTTTGTCAATCTAACATGTTTTCACTTTTATTAACGTCACAAATTGTACTAACATTTGAATCCTTGTTCGTTAATTTTGGAATCGATTAATTTATTGAGACGTCAGATGGAAGAATCGTCAGACGTACGTGAAACATGATTGACCAATAAATATCAAAGAACACAAAAATAAAAATAGCAGACTTTCTTTCCTTTTTTTTTTCACTTCATATCTCAAACCCAATGAAGCTTTAATAGAAGGTTAACATGTTAGACTGATTAAAGTTTCCGAATCTGTATCTTATCAAAGATAGATATGAATAGACTGGTATATATATATATATATATATATATATATATATATATATAGAGAGAGAGAGAGAGAGAGATCCGTTTAGGTGAAACCATCCCTGCCTCGTTAGGATTTATTCTAATTTACCGCTCTACTTAGCATATTGAATCCTCTACGTTTTCGCTGTCTTTATACTCGCTTGTTTTTTTCTTTGGACTAAGGACTTAAGACACTTGACGATTTCTTTCGCGTTGTTCTGATATTTTTAGTTCTTTCTTTTTTACTTCCAATTTTTTCCGCAGATACCACTTTGCCCTCAATTGTCTACTAGTTGAGTCATCCGAGGTTTTTCAAGCGAGTAATATTCTAAATATATATATATATGTACACACACACACACACACACACACACACACACACACATATATATATATATATATATATATATATATATATATATATATATATATATATATATATATATATCTTGCGCAGCGTGCACCCAGGGGCGACTCCGTCGAAGGACAAAGTTGAAACCGAGGAAAATTATACTGAGAGTTTCCCAGCCCGAGGCCGCGCCCCCTACATTGCACAAGAGGGAGGGATTGGTGCTCGCCCCGAGGTCAGCGCAACCGATAGTTGCGGTGGTTGCGGACAATTTTTGTTCCTTGCCCGGGTCTACGCGCTCGGGTGCTCACCTTAAAAAAAGACCTTGTGTCACAACTCTTTTTATTGGTGAGACAGTGTAAATACCCAGTGTATTGAGCATTTTTCTTTTCTTTTTTTTCTTATTTTACTCGTTTGGATTTTTCTCTTTGGAGTAGAAATTACGATACTGGGCGAATTTCTTGGCCAACTTGGATGTTTTCAGTCTTTTGTTTTTTTCAAAATTTTTTCCATATATGTTTTTATTCCCACATTTTACTATCAATTTTTTTTTCTTACACCAGCCATGGCTTAGTGGTAGAATCCCCGACTAATGCCAATTCAGCCGCGTTTCGACCCTAGCTAGAGGCAACCGGACGTCTAGCCACACTGATGTGCTGTGATACGGCGAAACAGTCTGTCTGTGAATGACAATATATATGCCCCTGAAAAATTTACTTCGTTTGAGCTTTCTGGGGAGGAAGTGTGGGTTTGTAAACAGTGACTATTACGGCTAATAATGGATGACTCTTCGGTAAATCGAATCGAGTTCTCTCATTCACTGTGTGTTTACCTAAAAAGAAATACGCTTAAATTCAGCGTCACCTCTGCATGCGCCAACGGCTTAGTGGTAGAATCCCCGACTAACATCTATCCAGCCGGGTTTCAATCCTAGCTAGAGGCAACTGGTCCTCTATCCACACTGATGAGCTATGATACTGCGAAACAGTCTGTTTGTGGATGGTTATATATATATATATGTATATAAACAAACTAGGTTTGTCCCACTTTTATTCAGTTTAGAATAAAAAAGGTCAAATTAATTCTAGTTGGAAAATAGGAAATATTTTCATAAATTATTTTCTACATCTTTCCACGAGATTTGTGTTACTTTGTGTAATGTTTAATGATTTGTGCTATGAAGTTGTCCATACACTTTCCTTTTTTGATCTATTGGAGTTCTCTCGTTATGTAGGATTTGTACATGAGAGGGGTTGTCAAAAATTATCTATTAAGCTAAAAAAATAAACTGTCATTTTTAACCCAAGAAATATTTTTTCATGGTGGAACCAAATACGAAAGATATTTTTGATTATTCTTTCAATCAATTGTCTGAACTGGAATCTACTGTTCTTGTTCATAGCTTAGATCTTTGTGTACTACCCATCATGCCGGACAAAGAAAATATCTTTTTTGAGTTCGAGGTTTTGTTTTCGCAACTTACAAAACTTGTCCCTGTTTCCTCGGATGCTTTTGGTAACCTTAGATCAAATTAAATAATTATACTCATTTCTTTCCTAGTACACCTTTTTATACTTCTGAATCAAACTGGAAAATTGAGCACAAACGGATTATCAGATCTCTAAATGAAAACTGTGATTTGGGGATTTCTAGACCTGATAAGGTGGGGTGTTGTCATAATGGACTCCACTGATTATGTTACTAAGATGTTTTCAATTCTAAATGATACATCAAAATTTATAAAATTAGGCCCTTTTGATGCAACCACTTCAATGAAAATAAAATTCCAGAAACAACTTTTGAAGTGGGTTCAAATTGGAATTCTTTCTCCTGAAATTTCTGAGGAAATTAGACCCTCTGGCTATATTAAAACCCGCATTTATGGTCTTCCAAAAATCACTAATAAGGGAGTACATTTAAGACGCATATTATAAATGATAGTGTCATCACAACATAAGGTGGCCAAATGGTTTTCTAAAGTGATACAATCTGTTTTGCAGCACTCATTTACTATAAAGAATTCATTTTCCTTTGTTGAGTTTATTAAAAATTGTCCCTCCTCTGGCAAATTTATGTGCCCTTATGATGTGTGTTCTTTGTTTACTTGTGTTTCCCTCATGGAAAAAAAATTAACATCTGCTGCGATTTTCTTTGTTGCAGTTCTTTGTCCTCTCCTGCTGTTGTTGAAGTAATTTTGTGGAATTGGTGAAATTTCCCACTTCATCTGTCGAATTTAGTTTCAACAATATGATGTATCGTCAAATTGACGGAGTTGCCATGGGTTCGACTTTCGTCCCTGTGTTGGCGGTTATATTCGTTGTGTTTTATGAAGAGAGATTATTTAATAATCTATTATGTCCCTCTTTGTATTGTCGTTATGTCGATGACACTTTTTGCCTACTTAATGAATAATAATAATAATCTTCATCATTCTTTGAACTTTAACCTTAAGAAAGATGTTAATTCCAAAATTGCTTTCTTGGATGTATTGCTACATCGCACACCTACATCTTTTCGTACCTCGGTTTATAGAAAGTCTACTGTTTCTGGTTTATATACGCGTTGCGATTCTTTTGGGCCTAAGAAGCGCAAAAATAAACCTTACAGAAACTTTGACGCATAGAGCATTTC